GGCCCCGCCACCCCCGGCCCAGCGGACCGCGGGCAGCTTGCGTGGGACTCTGAATGCCGTCCTGGCGGGGAAGGCCGCCCGCCCGCGTCGGTCTTGCTTGCAATAGGCCAAGTGTGAGCACTTCAGCGTCACGCTGGCAAACTGGAGGAAGCCTTTTTGTTCAGACCTGTGCCTCGAGCAGCGCAAGGCAAGGCTGGAAGCGAATTGCTTTCGGGGGGGGGGCAGCTCTCTCCTCGCTGCTGCTCCTTCCTTCCTTCCTTCCTTCCTTCCTTCCTTCCTTCCTTCCTTCCTTCCTTCCTGGGAGAGCAGGTGGGGCTGCAGACCCCACAGTGGGGCCTAAGTCAAGCTGTCAGTCAAGCTGGCTGAGAGGACTTTCTCCCGCGCGGGGCTCCTGTTGGGGAGAGGCTGCCCTCCCCCAGGTGGGCAGGGTGGCTTCTGGGCCAAGCATCTGGACCTGTTTCCTGGGGGCTGAAACTGTGCCAGCCCTTCTCTCAGCCAGGAAAGAAGTGGGTTTCAGCCGCTTCTGCTTTGGGGCAGGGGGCGGGGTAGCAGAGACCACGTTGCAGGGAGGGCTTCAGCTCCCCTAATCCTGGCCCCCCTGACTCTTGGGAGCCTGGGGCCTTCCTTGCCTGGGGGGGAGGCGAGGGCCGCCTCAGGTCATCACCTTTGCCTCTGTTGGTCCCCGCAGCCCGCAGAAGTGAATGTCCTGGTCGGGAAGGACCGCAGCAACCTCTTCGTGAATGGGCTGACGCTGGGTGGGCAGAAGTGCTCGGTCATCCGGGACAGCCTGCACATGGATGGGGAGAGCACCATGGATCTGCGGACAAAGAGTACTGGCGGTGCCCCCACTTACAACATCACGGCCGCCATGACCAACAAGAGTGAGTTGGAAGGGGAGGGGCTCTTGCAGCTGCCCAAGTTTTTCTGCCTGGGTGGGGCTGCATTCTTTCCCTTGCCCAGCAGCTGTGGAGGGGCTCCTCTGCAGGCCACTTGGGGTGGGGGCAGGGGAGCAAACAGCTGTGGCTTAAGCCAGCCCCACTGCAGATAAGGCGGCCACTGTCTTGAGCCTGGGAAGGGCCATAAATCGTGCTCCATGGCTGGCAAGAGAGCTCAGAGGGCCAGGAGGGGGCAGAGGGCACGTCAGGCACTGCATTGGACAGGCCAAAAACGTTCACTGTGGGTCTGAGAGGGACGGGGGGGGGGGCCTTCCTCCAGGGCTTTGGCCATGCAGTGAGCTGCAGCCGGTCAGACCGGCTTGGTCCGCCCTGCCCCCTGAGGTTACTTTTGACTAGTAAAAGCGGTGCCACATTTTAGCCAGACCCTCAGTCTCGGCTGCTCCCCGTCAGTGTGGTTTTTTCTAGGCCTGTTTTTTCTAAACCTCATTCAGGAACTCCTGCTGTGCCCAATTTCTCCCCCCCCACCTAACCGTTTGGCAGGGAGCTCCCTTGGGGGCCCCTGCCCGGCCTTGCCACTGACCCGTCTCTTCCGCCACAGCGATCGTCCTCGTCATGGGAAAGGAAGGGATCCACGGCGGCTGCATCAACAAGAAGTGTTACGAGATGGCCAACCACTTGCGGCGGTCGCAGTATTGACCCGCCTGCTGGTCCCATCTGTGGTACTACTGATGGAACGGTGTGAGGATGTCCAAGACGGCAGCGACCGCCCGGGGCCCCCGGCCTTGCCATCGCAGGACCGACACCCCGGTACAAGATCGCTGCATATTCCAACTTCTCCTGCTCACGGCCTCTCCCTCCTCCGCTTCTCCCGTTTTTTTCTAATGCCCCCACTCTTCCCCGAGCCTTCCTCCCTTGTTTTCTTTTTTGCCATTTTTTTTCTACCACAAATCCTTATTGCTGCCAAATTTTCTGGTTGTTACAAGGTGTAGCTTTTTTGACGAAGAAAACTATATTGGAACAAGAAAAAATAAAAACAAATTGAATTCTAACGTGGAGTGTCTTTGAAAGTGTTGAGTGTGGCCCCTGCCTCCTTTCCTCTGACCTGGGCGCTCCCTCCAGCAGGGCAGAGGCCCAGATAGTGTGCCTGGCCGGTTGCCCTCCTGGTTTCTGAGTGGGGAAAACCATCGCTAAAGCAAAAGGGCCAGAGACAGAAGCTGGCTTGTCCCTCCTGACAATGGTGTGTGCCAAGAATGGAGGAACAGCCCTCTGGCCTTTGTGACAGCAGGAGCAGGTTACACGGTCAGTTCAAGGAAATTCAAGGGTGGTCAGTCCAAGTAGAAGCTGCCCTCACCAGGTACCGAATGGGTGTTGCTCCCGGGAGCCACTGGGTTGGGGTTCCCAGGTGAGGGGAGGCCCCTCTAAGCTGCCTGCCGTTTGCAGGCACTCTTCTCGGCTGCTGACCACCTAGGCTTTGGCCAGGCCCACCCTCACAGGCTGGAGTCGAGCAGGGCGCAAAGTCCAGCAGGCCGCTCTTCTTACAAACACACAGCTGAGCCAGGCTTGCGGCCACAGCCTGCACTTCGAGGGTGGGATGGACGGCTTCCTCACCCCCATCACTTTCCATCTTCAGTTCACCCCCATCACTTTCCATCTTCAGTTCGTTTTGCTAAAAAAATTACCCAACGCAGAATTTAAACTGTATTTTTATTGACTGACCAGAGGGATGCCTGGTCCTTTCATCTTCCCTTTCCCCAGCCCTTTGGGGGGACACAGACCCCCACTGCCCTTTTGCCAGAACCTTCCCAGTCAGTTAAAAGTCACAAACCGTGAGCCCCCCCAGGTGTTCGGCGGAAGGCTAAGTGGCAACAGCATGGAAGAGAGGTTTGGTCCCAGGAGGGGGGCGTCTCGCTCCCCCTTTTCTGAGGGACTTGCCCCCTAAGCAGCAAGGGGAACGGAGTTCGGAGGGCGAGGCTGCAGCTGCTGCTCTTGACACGTGACCAGTCCAGTCAAGGAGGACAAGAAGAATTCAGGCCTGCGCGGCAAAGGAGGGGAAGGATCAGGGCCCCCGTGCCCATCCCCCAGGCTATTAGAAAGCACTCCCTGCTCTGGTCCAGGCCCTCCTGCTTGGCAGTGCTCCCACAAGCAGAGGAGGGTGCCTGGGTTGTGTGTTGCTCTAAGCCACCAGCCACTACCTAGGGCAGCCCCCTGGCAAACCCCCACCTGGCCAGAACTCTGCCTGTTGGGGGGGCTGGGGGAGAGCCACAGAAGAAAGGGGCATTCCTTCCAGCCCAGCGTTCTGCCGGGCTCAGCGGCTGCTCTGTAGCGGGGAGGGAGGGCTGAACGCCACCTCAGATGCTGCTCTGCTGCCCTGCTTGCCCGGGCACACCCACCGACGCCACCCTGCTCAGCATGAAGAGCAGCCCACTGGTCCTCCCCTTTCCCCCATTCCACGCGGGGAGGTGTGCAAGGACTAGGACCTTCCACCAGCCGTGGAAAGTTGAAATCCTGGAAGCTCCGGGGGAGGGGGGGAAAGTAGAGGCCTCTTCTACACCCTTTGATACCTCTGCTAAGAGGAGGGGGTTTGCCTGCCCCCAGAAGGGGGGGAAACAAACCGCTGGGCGGTAGGCTAGACCAGCAGCTGGCTCTGTAAGCAAGGGCTGGGAGGCTGCTCCTCCCCGCCCTCAGCCAGGAGGCCCTGGGGGCCGGAGGGGGGGGACTGGGCCATGCTGCCAAAGCAGGGGGGGCCCACAGCTGTGCTGGGCAAGGGGCCCAGTAAGGGGGTGCGCTCTGAGTCCTCCTCCTCCTCTTCCTCCTCATGCCCTGTGTCCTGTGCTTCCGCCTCGTCCTGGGGAGGCACGGCTTGGTCAGTGCCCTCTTCGCCGTCCGAGTCCGAATCCTCCGGAGAGCGGATCACACGCTGCTTGCAAACCGGACAGGTCTTCTTCGTCCGGGTCAGCCAGGGATCCACACACTTGCAGTGGTACGCTGAGGGGGGACAAGCAGGCCCCAGGCTCACCACCTTCCTGCATTGGCACACCTCGCCAACCTCCATGGCTGGCTACAGGTCCTGGAGCCCCCGGCCGGCCTGCCTGCCAGGAGCTGGACCTTCAGCCAGCCAGAGCCCCTGTGCCCAAGGGAGACAGCTCCCAGCGACTTCTGACCACAGAACATTGGCTGCCCCCTTAAGCAGGCCACCAGTCAGGCCCGTGCTGCTGGCAGGAGTCACGCCCTACCATGAGAGCAAGGCAGGATCCGCAGCCGGTCTCCGTCTTCGTACTCCTCCAGACAGATGGCACAGATGTCATACTCGTCCCCTGAGAAGCAAAGATGGGGTGTGTCAGTCCCCACAGCCGCTAGGGCTGTGCCCCGATTTGCTAATGCCTGTGCCCACAGTGCCCAGTGGCCCCAATCCACCTCGTGGCTTCTGGGAGAGCCTGGAGTTTCCGGGGGGGGGGTGTCTCAGGAGGCTTTCTCCCGCACCCAAAAGATC